CCCGTCCTGAAAAACCTATGACCACACTACAAACCACAAAGATCAGAATCTCTGGACATAAAGCCTAGGCACTGGTATTTTTAAAAAGCAACTTTGGCAATTCAAGTAGGCAATCAAGGTTCAGTACCACTAATTTAGTACAATCCTTAATTATTTTTTTTCTTTTGATACTGGGGATTGAACTCGGGACCTTGTGCTTGTGAGACAATCCTTCATTTTTAATAGATGGGTAAATTAAAAAAAATCTCAAGACGCAGACAGGGAAGCATTTTGTCTAAGGTCATTTAGTTACTCTATGGGAAGATCTAATTTGTTCTCATTCTCATCTCTCGTGGTTCCCAAGCCAGTGCTTTTTTCTTCAGTTGCTTCTGGTTCCTGGGGGGCAGAACTACAAAATGATCCTGTTCAACAGTAGCTCATTACTGCCAGCTTCCCAGCTAAGCTGCTTAGCTCTCTGCACTGAACAGCTAACAACATTTACTGGACCAAGAGCCATGAGCAGATGATGGGTCCTCCTTCCTTCTGCCTGTTCAAGCAGATATTTATTTCATTCTCCCTAAATGCCATTCCCCAAAGTGCTAACTCTTCCCACTTGAAGAATGGGAAGAACCCCCACTTGGATGTCAAAATCCCCCTAACTAAGTACAGAATGGAGGTGAAGACTCTTGACAACACTATGAGGATCTGTGTTCAGCGTTAACCAGCAGTGAGTGCGATTGTTCCATCCTTGCTGTGCTCTTGGGCTGTGTCATTAGAGGCACAGGTCCACAAGACCTGGTAGGGCTGCTCACCTCTGACCACAACTTTACCAGAACTGGGAGGGTTTAATCCTTGAGCAGCTTCACGGTCAAAACGACAGATTCCAGCACCCAGAGTGAGTGTGTTAAGAAATTGTGTCCCCTTGTTGTATTTTGGGGATATCACGAAGGAGACCTACATTGTTTAACTATCCCAAAGCGCCCTATTCTTTTATATCGACTCCCTCATGCTTTGCAGCCACACTCTTGTTTGCAACTTCCTGTCACCAAAATTCCACTGCCCTCAATCCCCCTTTCTCTAGCCTGTGTCTTGATCCTTCTTGTCCTTTTTACTCCACTTCTATAGCTGCAAAGACAGGAACTTTTGGAGAGCTAGGAGTAGAGAACAGCCTGGCATCAATCACACATTTCAGGGCCATTACAACCATGCCCAGCTGTCGCTAATGATGCCATTCTCCCACACTCTTCTCCATCCCTCCTGTTACCCAACTATTGAGCTTAAGCCTTGTTATAATCAGACCCATAAAGACCTGTGTAGGTTCCAGCTCCATGTATGTTGAACACCTTCTATGTACTATGCCACTGGACTTGGTTTGATTTGTAGATAAGAGTCTACTTCTTTACTAAAATGGGGACACCCAGACCACCCCATAGTTAAGATAGTATGTATGACAGTTCCATGGTAATAGCAGGTTATGCACCAATTATAAGGCAATGGTGATAGCAATGAAAATTTTTTCCACCCCACCAGTCCTGGGAAAAATTGGCACTTGACAAAGACTTTGAGTCCATATTTACAGCTTACTTGCACTGTTACAAATTGTCTTTCATTTCGTTTTCTCCAGGTAAAGAAGGTCCTTCCGAGGATCCAACCATATCCAGTGAGTGTATATCTTCATCTGAGTCTCGGGGAAAATGTTTCCTGCCACAGAACATGACACCAGGTATCTCAATTCCAAAGATAAGTGCTCCTTGAAAAAAATACCTCTCTTAGGAATATTTCAGAAACCTTCTTATCTCTTCTATCTGTTGACTCCCTCTTTTACCTTTTCAAGGCACCATCACCAAATGCATCTTTATAAGCACACCTTCAACTATACTTGCTGGCTTACAAATCTTCTATTATTCTCCATTGCGAACAAAGACAATTTAAGCTTTCTTTTTCTGGTATTCAAAACTCTTCAGAATCTGGCACATATCAGGAGTTCCATACATATTTTCTGGGTTAGAGAAACTATATCATCATTAGATTTTAAGGTGGCTGGATTAATTTTTAAAAATTATGTATTTAATTATGTACCTCAAAGAGTTGTTTATATTTAGTTGGTGCTCAGAAAATGTTTGATAGGTACATGAATGATTGAATGAATATGTGGGAGACAAATTTATATTCTATATAGAACCTACACACTACCTTACTTGTAGTAGGTTCTGAATAAATAGTGCTACATAGGTGAACAAGTGAGTGAAAGGTTGAATATACAGGGTGAGGTTGGCTGAGCAGAAAGGCACTTATATGAATTTTTCAAAAACAGAAAAAGATTTGGAAGTCAGTGAGTCATTTTCAATGCATGTTTCACTTAAGGTCCCCGTTGGGAAACTTCAGTGAAGCCCACAACAAGAAAGCTGTTATTAGAGAAAAGTATACCTGTGCTGAATTCTATACCAGAAATCCTGAGGACAAATCTGTAGAAAGTGTGGTTTCTGTTGTACAGCAGCAGGGACCATTTCTGACGACAAATCATGTGCCCAGCGTTCTCTTAGGTATTCCTCCCACCCTCACATGCTCCCCTCTTGGTGAGGCACCACAATCCCTAGTTAACAGGTGAGGGAAATGACTTCACTGCCACACAGGTAATATGTGATAAACAAGGAAGGGGTTTGAACCTTGTTCGTAACTACCATGCACCATTAAAGATGGCCTTTTATCCTCCAAGAATATACTTCTCCCTGAGATACAAAATATAGATTTGTGAAAAAGAGCTACATTTTGACTCTTTAAAAAATATACACCATGTAAACAGATATGGTATAATTATCATGCAAGGTTCTTTCCATTCCCAGTTTCAAATTTTGTCAAACTGCTTGGTTGATTATGAGAAAAATCTTACCCTTTGCTTTGTGTCAATCTGCTTATCATCTGTCAGCTTAGGACAGCCCAGAAAAAACCCTGAATTACCATCTGTTGTTTCATGAATGCGGTGGAGTCAGCGTTTTGCCTTATTAGTGCATGAAAGCCAATGAACAAGGAATATCTTTAGGTGAAGCTAAAGTGACTACAGGCTGAATGTGTCCACCTCTCAGCACTTTCTGCCATGCAGCTGATTTCAGGAAGGCCAGGGTGTGAGAAGGGGAGACTTGGTGCTATTTGCCAACCTTTCCATTATGCAGAATAGTCAGAGATAGAATCAGTTAGATACATTATCATGATTACAGGGCTGGCTTTCAGAAGACTGAAATAGGTCACACTAACTTCACCCTGAAGCTCAAGAGAACTTGACTTCCTGCTTCCTCTGGTGATGAACGGGCTGGGTACTGTGAGATCCTAACTACTCAGACAGAGGCTCTGCTCTATGTCTGTTCTCACTGGTTGAGACTTCAACAGCAGTTTGCTTGTTTACACCAGGTCCTTTGGATTTTGTATATGTGGATTCACAGGCATGGCAATGAGATTCACACCATCAGGGCTACCAGGGAGCAGAGACCATTCCAAGAGAGGTTCTAAGAGGAAGCTGGATCAGGTTTTAAAAGGAAGGAAAAATTGAGTTTGGCAGAAAGAAATCACAGAACAGTTATTATCAAGGTTATGGCCGTGATCAGATGAGGACTAGGGTGGCATGGAGCGGGGAGCAACAGCTAATGCTTAATGTGTCTACTGAACACTTACTATGGAGCACACACTGAATAAACAGTTTATATGCATATCTTACTGAGTAAGCCCTTGAATCCTCTGTAGGATGAGCCTCAGCAAAACAATTTTGCTACTAGGAAAGTCAGGTGCAGAGAGGTGATTAATTGTTCAGGGTGGCACAGTTATGGAGGGGCAGAGCCAAGACTTGAGCCTGAGCCTGATCTTCCCTGGCTTTTGTGTTTGTGCTGTGCCTCCTCCTGGAGGTCAGCATGCAGTAATGCTACCAGGTTGGGGCTGGGCAGGCTGCCAGGGATGGGGGAGGGTTGGATGTGACTGAAACACAGGCCAGGGAGGACTGAGTAGAAGAAACAGCCACCTGAAGCTCACATCAAAGTCAGGTCATGGGAGCATGTTGTTTGCACCATAGCACTTTTGGGCCCTCGAGGTTAAAGACAGGCCTCTTGAAGCCGAGAGTCCAGGCTGCCCTGGGGACGCAGGCCAGCACAATAGGACCTATTTTCAACAAACTCAGCAATTTGTGAAGGCCCTGGCAAGTTGTGGCTAGAAGAGAGACCTCTGCAAATTATCCGATCCAGTGCTTTCTCTGATTATTGGATAGGGTAACTGTTAACAAGATTGCTATTTATTGTCTAAAGAAGACACAGTTGAAAGGGCAACCTTGTGTAATGTTCTGAACACTCTCTCTAAAGGCACTACTTTTTCATAGCACTTTTTCCACCTGAAATGAATGTGCTTGTAGAATTAGCTATTTGCCAAGTAGAATTCAAATTCCACGAGAACAAAGGCCATGTCTACCTTGCTCTCTGCTGTAACCTCAGCACCTAAAAGAGTTTCTGAATTCGAGGCTCTCAAATGAGTATTTATTAAATGAATGTGCATTCTGAAGAAATTGAAGATAACCTTTCACATATTAGATATTTATTTTGACAATCATTAATAAATGAAGCAACAGAAAAAACAGGCTAGTGTTTGATGTATGTGTGTGTGGCTCGGTGGTAGAGTGTGTAAGGCCCTGGGTTTATCCCCAGTAGGGTTAAAACAACAAAACAAAAGCAGGTTAGAGAAAGTATATTTGTGAATGTATAATGAGTAAAATGCATAATTTCTATTATGTACTATAAATTAGAATACAAATACATTTTCTTAAATATGGATAAAATAGTGTTCATTCACATCTTTCACAAATCAACTACTGGAAACAATATGTATCCTAGTTGGTCCTGGGTCAGCACCAAAGGGGAACTAATCAATGCCAGTTAACTGGTTAACTCCAGCCCTTGGTGAGCCACAGTGGGCTTCACCTTCCCCCTCCCTGCACTCCGAGAAGGCCAGGAAAGGCGTGCATGGCGTGCATGGCGGATCTTTAAGCCTGCTCTAGTCTGTAATTACTGAGGACAGCAATTTAGGAATTAGCCAGACCTGTGGGGAAACACGGAGGGTTTTTCTAATGCTTTGTTCTCTTGCATTGCATGAGCATGTGCAGCCTGTTCCTTCCTGTTCTCTCAGATCTGACGCTGACCTTCTGTGTGAAGAGCCGCTCCAGGAGGTGTGTCAACGGAGCCCTGCAGGAAGCTGCGCGCAGGCGGCTCTGGACGCTGGAGAACGAGGACCAGGACGCGAGGGCACTGTTTAAGGTGAGCGCTTCGGATGAACTCTCAGCACCCAGCTTGTGTCCGTCTGCGGCAGCATTCCCAGCACCCACCCAGGACAGGGCCTGCAACAAAGTAGAAACATCTGGCCGGCCGATGAGGCTGAGGAAGGAATGAAGGGTTGCATACATTCTCCTCCAAGCGAATAGGTGCGGTCCACACGCTTAACAAGAAGGAACAGAAATTGGGACCCTCTGGAGTTGCTGAGTCAGAGAAAACTTGGTTACAAATCTGCTGCTGTTCATTGTATGACCTTTGCGACTTATTTTAGCTCTGTACAATGAAACCCATTACAGCACCTCATAATAGTACTTCTTTCTAATGTCATTTTGAATTTTATTTTTGTTACTGTGATACAATATACATAACATAAAACTTTCCGTTGTAATCATTTATATTTGGACACTCACAACCAATAATCTCCAGAATTGTTTTATGGTCCCAAACTCGAGCTCTGTACTCATTAAACAATGAAATCCCACAATCTCCATTTTCCCGAGGCTCTGGTAATCACTAAGTATAGATTGTATTCCGTTAAAAAATTTTTTTGGTAATACCTGGAGTTTCACGCATGCTAGGCAAGTACTCTATGCCCAAGCCACACCCCAGCCCTACATTAATTATTCCTAGTATTCCAAGGAAGTTCTGTTTCAACACCCACCCCTGCCCATTGAGCCCCGAGACTGTGAGGATGGGTGAGGCAGATTCACAGGAAGGGTTCTGGTCATTGAGGGTCTCACTTGAGCATAACATTTAACCCCACTCCCTTCTTGGATGTTTCAAAGGCCTCCAGAGCTTTCTGTAGAGGAAATTTATGGGTGACAAAGGGCTTTATAGTCACAGGCTTGGACACAGCATGACATTGCCATTGGCCGTGTGTTGTGGTATGGGAACACCCCCTTGATGTTTACCTCCCTGCCTGCTGCGTGCATGGGGGTGCACTGGTCACCTCAGACCCCAGCCCCACAAGCACCACGGTCCCCTCAGAGCAAGTGGTGTAGATATCCTCCAGGATGGTGCTCTCTGCCCTTGTGCATTCAATGGTGACTTCCTCAGCAGCCCTGTCACCTTGCTGGCGATTTCTTGGGTGAGGAGGCTCTCTTTGGAGAGCTGGAAGGCAAAATCAGCCCTGAATTCTTTGGCTTTGGACAATTGAGAGGCAGACAGATCAGTTACTACTACTGCTGCTGCATCCATTGCCTTGGTCACGATCAAAGTGACCAGCTGGCCTGGCCAAGTTCCACACAAAGACCTTGTACCCCAGGGAGACTTTACCTTGCCAGCAGGCATGGATCTCTACAGAGAGTAGCTCGAGCAGGATCCCTTCCTCAAAGGTGACACTGTCAGGAAGCTTGTAGCAGAAGTTAGTGTCATGCTTGTAGAAGCAGCAGATGTTCCCATCATGGTGGAGGGGGTGGTGGTGGCACAAAAGAAGATGGGGTGATAGATAGATTGTATCCACTGACCTTGCAGAATTCATCAGTTTCTCAGGGGGCCCCAGGCTCAATGACAATGGGATCACCTGATTTTAGTGCTTTACCAACAGTCCCACTTTCATGGCTGTTTCTGAACCTTCATGCCCCAGCACCATTGGCTTCTTCAAGATAAACTCCCCAAATCTGACCGTGCTAACAATAGTGGACCTTGGACCCACAGATTCGGACAGAGTGCATCCTCAGCAGCACCTCATTTTGGCTGGATTCAGGCATGGGCTAGCTCTCCAGGCGAGTGTCCCCAGGTCAGTGCACCACTAGGGTCAGGATTTTGGCCTTGGCCGCCACAGCCCTGTTGCTCTGGAGAGTGAAGTGAGGCTTGCAGTGGTTCTGGTTGGGGCCCCGCAAGCATAGACTGACTGATTCATTTCTGTATTTATTTATTTTTTGCTCTACTAGAGATTAAACCCAAGGTCTTCACACTGAGTTACATCCCAGTCATTTTTTTTTTTTTTTAATTTGAGACAAGGTCTTACTAAGTTGCTAAGTTGCCCAGGCTGGACTCATATTTGTGATCCTCCTGCTTCAGCCTTGCAGAATGCTGGGAGCCTGGCCATGTATAGTTTTTTAAAAAAAATTTATTTATTTATTTATTTTTATTCTTATTTATTTTTTTTCGCATATAGATTTTTACAGCAACAAAATTGCCAATCAAAACCCGATAACTTCACATATTAGGATGAGAGGAAAAAAATGCAATAAATTAAACAAATGGTTTCCTCATTTTTGCCAGGTAGATAATACTTTTGATTGTTAAACTGGGGAAGAAAAGTATGACCAAATTACTTGGGGTTTAGGAGGTACTATCTAGAACTAAAGTCAGCAATGGGTAAAATTTGTTGCAACTAGTAGTGGTGGAAGGAGAATGTTGCTTTATACTGATATGTTCTAGTTAATTTTATAGTGTCTGCATTAATTGTGTAAAATGAAAAGAAAAAAGTGCTGTGTTATGTAGCAAAAAATGTTTAGTTTTTTAGGTTAAGAAAATGAGATAGTATCTATCAAGAGCTTGTACTTGAGTGGTTCTATATATTCCATAAATACTAGCTAGGGCTTTTAAATTTTTATTTTGTTATATTTAACCCCTGGAACACTGGAATGTGGAGGCACTGGCTGCTGACTGATGGAATAGGTTTCCCTTTGGTTTGAGTTACCTTTGGTGTGGCCAGGCACGGAGCTTGACTGAGACAGCCAGCCCGCTGGGCCGTGGCTGGAGCTGAGTGTTCTTGGGGTATGAGGCTAAGGGCCAAAGTCAGTTTGACCTAAGAGATAGTCAGAGCTCTACAGTTTACTCAGCGCAGGTCACATTGGGTAACTTACTTCATCTCCCTGTGTCCCTGCATCCTTGAATATAAAGTTGCCATCATGTCATTTTTCATTAGATTCAAAATGTCACTGATTATAACTTGCACCGTTATTTTGTGTACCTCCAAGAGAAAATAAATGTGGTGAGTTAAGTATGATGCTATACTTCTTTATTGTTTATTTTAGAACTGGTTAAAGGTTATAAAAGCATTATCTAGAATGGATTAACTACTGTAATTGCACTCCCTCCGTAGGATTATTGTGGGAGTTAAATGAGGTAATTCTCATCCAACTCTTAGCAAAGTGATTGGTGCATAGTAAATTCTCTGCAAATAAATTTTTACCTAGCAACCTTGCCCTCATTATAGGACCTATACCATCCAAAGATTTAGGTCCTCCAGAGGTCTGTTATGGAGAAAAGTAAGATTTGACTTTGCTAAACTAAGGGCTCTTGTTTTGAATCTTTCTATCCATTCCTTCTTCTCCTAAGACTCCCTAAGGGCAGGGGTCTAGGAGTTGCTTTTGACTGCAGAACCTGGTCTCAGGGGGAGTGTTCTCTATTTGGTCAACTCCAGGGGCTCGGTCAAAGAACAGGGAAAGATTTAGGGAAAATCAAGTCTGGGCAGAGATTCAGGCCTGTTTTTTCAGATATTAAAAAACAACAGACTTGTGATCTTCTTGCTTTGCTGGTGAGCGAGCATGTGAATTGGAACAAGTCTTCTAGTCCGGAGAGCAGGTGGATACTTGTGTTTTGGAGTGGAAAATGTACATATCTTTGCATTCCAATCCTGTAATTACTATGTTGGGATTCCATCATGTTCCTGAGCTCTTCTCTAGATTTATTAATCATGTCTTGCACTAGGAGCATAATTTCTCCTGTTACCTGAGAAATTATTTCTGATTTCATTTTTTCCAGATCCCCTTTTGTGGCCAGTTCAGTGGGTCCAGGTGGTTGAGTATCAGTGTTCCATCTCATTTCCCTTTAGGGTTGCTGTAGGTGATCTGGAAGTCTGGTTTTGAGACTTATTTATGTGTTTTCTCATTTCAACTGGAGGGGTGCAGTTGTTGGTGCCTGCACGGATTACCTCCTCTGAGCTGGGAGAAGTGGGACAGGGACCGGGAGCAGCAGTAGGGATGGTGGCCCAAAAGCCCTTTCCTCTGGGCTGGGAGCAGTGGGAGGGATGGTGGTCGGGGAGCCCCTCCTCTAGACCAGGAGCCGTGGGACAGTGGCTCAGAAGCCCCTACCTCTGGGCTGGGAGCAGCGGGACTCAATACTGTGGTCTGGTGGTCCGGTGTCCTCTGCGTCTTTGTAGTGTGGAACCAGGTGGCTGTACAGAGGAGCAGGGTGGGGGTGGGGGGATGTCCAGTGGATTGTTACCAGGGCGCCAATCCTGCAATTACTTATGTCAACATAATCAAGAAGATGCATAAAGATTTAGCTACAAGAATGTTCATCCCAATACCATTTAGGATACTAAAAAATGTAAAATGATCCAAAAGAGAAACTACAAAGAAATGATAAGAATCATTAAGTTAATGAAACAATAGCAAACAAATAATCATTAAACATAACTGGACCATTTAATGACATGGGAGATGGATCACAATATTTAATTTACCAAAGAAAAGAAGATTGAAAAAACAATTTATGTACTTTGATTCTATTTCTATAAAAGAGCTATAGGGAAACTCGTGAAGAAAGATTCAAAGTTAATATATGAAGACATTAACATTGATGATCTCTAGGGGAAGGATTATGGATGATTTTGCTTTTTGTGTGCTTTGGCTTTCTTGTTTGTCAGCTTTATAAAAATAATCAGTAGACATAGATTCACAGTCAGTTTTGCTTACAAGTTTCCTTCTGTGATTCATCCTCTACTTTCCTATGCACACTTTTTAAAAAGTACAAAGTGTATCATCCTCTGCATATAGTTTTATACCTTAGTTTCTTTTTGTTACTCTTATTGTTCCATTTAGCAGTGTTGATTTGGAGTCCATGTCAGTATACAAAGAACTCCCTTATTCCTTTTAATACTGCATAATGTTACAATATTCCACTGCATGAATGCACCATACTGTATTTTAGACAAGACAGTGTGCATTCAGGAAGATATGGCCATAGAGCCATACTCTATTTTAGCTAGTTTCTTATTGATTAATATTTAGGTTGTTTCTGTTAGGGCTTTACTTTTGATTTCATGGTGTAAAATCAACACTACAACCAAGAAGTTTATCTAATGCACTGGGTCCTTAGGTGAGGTGAGTTTGTTAGCAAGACACTGTCCTTCCCGGCTGACTCCTCGCTCTCTTTATTCAGGACCTCTCTGCCAGGCTGGTGAATATCCAGTCCCAGAGGGCCCAGTTCCTGATCACCTTCAAGACCATGGAGGAAATTTGGAAGTTCTCTACCTACCTGGATTTAGGTATAACATGGGTGGAGCATGCAGGTGGGAGAGTGCTGTGAATCACACAGCATAGGGTCTGAAGCTGGGAAGAGCAGAGGGAGATGAAGAAAATTGAGAAATAACAAGAAAGAAGGATACATACCAAGATTACGCTTGAAAGCTGGGACCAGGTGGAACCATAACCTCTTGAGCTAATGGCCGCCTGGAGTCCAGTGCACTCTTTATTTATAGTGTAAGACAAACAGGAAGAGAAGGTGGGGTACCTAGTGCTACGTGGCCTGTGTGGTTTAGGCTGAACGTAGTGTGATTGTCTCCTAACTGGGGCATGCACAGAAAGGGAACAGGGAAGGATACATAATGTAACTGTCTACTGGGGCTGTGCCATCCAGGGTCTACAATCTAATCTATGGAGGAGAAAGGGAGTAGGGAGGGGGCGAAGGGGCATCTTCAGGCTCAGCCTGTGGCAGGGGAGGACCCACTTCACAGTTCAGCAGGTTTGTAGGGGTTGGTGTTAAAGAATTGATCAAGTCCTGATAATTAAAAGAGATAGAAGTGGAGAGTTAACTTTTGACATATCACAAACTGCCTGAAACTAAATCTAAAGCAAATATTAGCTATTACTGTAAGTCATGCAGAGAATTAGCTTTCTTTTGTCCAAGGAGAGATTTATTTATTGAATAATCAATCAATTGGCAAACAATTTAGTCATCTACTAAATTGAAAGTACCGAGATAGATATGAAGTTGCTTTTTTTTTAAAGAAAGGGAGTTAGTCCTGAGTAAGACCAAGTAAGTGGTCAAAATATTAAGCTTCTAGGTTTCTTAACTCACATATTTGGAAAACAGTTAAGGAAAAAGGTGGGGGAACTCATCTATTAAAGTGGCCTCAGGCAGCAGAACTTTCTAAAAAGTAATGAAGGATGTCAGGTGTAGTGGAAGTACCACTGTGATGGGACATGGTTCACCAAGAAGAAAAACTCACAATAGGGAACTAATAGCTTCAAAGCCAATTGAAGCCAAGCCAAACAAAACTGCCTGATTTGATGAACATCTGGTGTATACCAGAAAATGCTGGATTCCATGCAGATGCACATAGGGAGAGATGCTGGGCAAGGCTGGAGGGTCAAGGCTAGAGGTAGGGCGATTTTCTCCTCTCTCCACTATACATCTGTGGACATTAGAGATCTTCGGTATTCGAAATGTGCTCCATGGACTCGCTGTGTCAACATCACCTATGACCTGTTAGAAAAGTAGAATTTCAGGCTCCATTCTAGACCTACTGAATCAGCATCTATGTTTTAATAAGATCTCCAGGTATGTGCTTGCAAGTTCAAGAAGCGGAATGGTAGAAGTACCCAGGCCTAAATCAGTATGATGGGCAGTCAGAATGGAAAGAGACAGGTTTTTTTGCATTGTAAGAAAGAGCTGAAACCCCCAAAGAAGAAAAATTTTAACACAAATAACTCATGTATCAAGGAGTGTTGAGGTATTATATACAATTGTTTAAAATTTATTATTTTTACATTTATAGAAGGCTTTTAATAAGACAGAGCTTCCTGAGCATTCATTGAATAAGGCTGAGGCTCAGAGCAGGGAAACTGAAGTGGATCTTAAATCTTTTGGCTGTGGAGAATCCCTTTAGCCATTCCATAGTTGGGGCATGCGAATTCGAACCACAGGTGAAGGGAACTTCAAGGAGAGACCAGGAACTCCCCAGAAAACATCTTAAACTTGGAGACTTCCAGGGCTTAAGAAAAGGAAATTGAGTTTGGTCATCTCATTGTGCACTTACAGAGATGCTGGAGATGCTAAAAATGGTAAATATCATTTAAACACAACTTGTATTTTCCAACAGATGCTGAAAATACATCTGTGGTCTGCTAAGGAGAACCTTCTGTGGACCATTGAGGGCAGAATGTATCTTGCTCAGGAATCTCTTTGGCTTAACTTCTAGGTTATGTGTCCACATGTCTGGAGCACCTCCTTTTTGACCACAAGTACTGGCTTAACTGCAGATTGGTGGAGGACACGGAGATCCAAGTGTCTGTAGATGACAAACACCTGGAAACCATGTACCTCGGTCTCTTAATACAGGAAGGTGAGCATGGCTAGAGGTGGGCGTGGGCCCTCATCTGAATATTATCAGAACCTCTGAAATAATTGAGATTCAAAGGGAGGCAAAAATCATTTAAACACAGAACATTCACAAACAGTACTCGAAACTTCTCAGTTCAACACTGCCACCACATGAACAGCTATGCTGCTTTGCCTCAGTCACTGATATTAGAGCTGCTTGAGGAGTTTTAAAAAGACACCCATGCCAGGGATCCACTTAGGCCAATTACATTCCTAGAGATGGGGCATTCCCATCTTTTTAAGAAAGTTTTCTATATAATTCTGATGATATCCATGATTGAGAAATGCATATATGAACATGTGATATAATTTGATTGTAAAACAAAATTGCAAATCTTACAAAACCTGAAGTATTTCCTCAGATTGAGTAAGGTGATGTTGACACACCAATGATCCGTTTACAAGTGAAGATCCCTCAGCCTGGCATATGGTCAGGTCTGATGAGCAAACAGACACATCAGAGTTACATATATTTTTACAAAATGATTCTTTTTATGATTGCATAGCATGAATCATATATGAAGGAAAGAATTTCATGTTGTGCTGTCACACAACTTACAGTAATTTTATTTGCCCAAATCAATTTAATTTATTATTTGTTGGTTCTAAGTTTAAGTGTGAGGTTGTAATTATAGCTGAAGTTCTGTTAAATGCAAACATATTTTCCTAAGATTGTCTCTTCTTCAAGGTATTTGTCTCTTATTTTGTCTCTTTTTTATTTCATCTCTTCTTCAAGATAAAGACCAAGTATGCCTTTTTCTCACAAATTGCTCAGAAACGTTGGTGTCTATTTTAAGCGAATTCCCTTTCAGTAGGTTTTTTTTTCTGCCAGTTTTCCTGGGCTCACAAGGACTTGGAGTGCCTCCCCCTGGACCATCTGCTTTACTCCCAGGAGTAAACATATTTGGACTCTGGATAGAAACATTACCTTGTGGGATCATCCCTTTTTACTTCCTGCTACTCCTTGGAAAGGGCTTTTCTCATTATCTACAGGTCACTTCTTCTGCAGAGCCATGTGCTCTGTGGCTCAGCCAGCTGAGAAGGAAGGGGAGTGTTTGGAACTTTGCAAGAACGAGTTAATCTCCGTGAAGATCTCAGAAGGGGAATCTGAGTGGGAAGGCGTGTCATTAGTGACTGGCCAGCGGGGCTTGGTTCCGGTGTCAGCCCTGGAGCCCTTGCCTGTCCCTTTCCATCAGTGAGTAACCACCCACCTTCTGGCAGAGGGCATTAGAACAGAGTGGGTTCAGCATAGAGCAGAGTAGGTAGGCTTTTGGAAACGGGTCTCCATGGTGCTTGGAAGAGAACAAAATGCAGGTGCCTTTTTATCTTCTATATTTTTTAACAGTCAAGATTTGTACAATTAATTTGGAGCGAATTCTAAGTTTCAGATGGATGCCAGTGTAGTGTTCTTTAGGGTATAGACCTAAGGTTTATCAGTTTCACCTAGGATTTTACCAAAAATCTAAATGCACGTGCCTTTTTTAGACGCCTTTGAGGTTGGGCCCAGGAATATGCATTTTAAATATGTTCCCCAGGGATTTTTTTGAACTGAAGTTTGAGAATCCTTTTTGGAAGATATTGTAAATTCAAATATGTAGAGTGACAGTAAACATTAGCCCAGACCATGGACCCTGTGCTTGGCCCGGCAGCAACTCTGACAATGAGAATAAAAAGGGGTCCTTTGTTGGTTATTTAACTGATAAACTAATTGCAGAGCCAGCAAACATCCCAGGTCTGCTGAACCTCTCTCCTTTTTATAGTGTGGTATAAAGTAAATTTTCAAAAGTGTCTGATATCATTAAAGTACACTAAATAAGTCCTTATCATAATCACCATCCTCATGCCATCATCCTTTTTCTAATGGACTGTTCTCGTTCTAAGTTTTTGAAATTCACATTTGCAAACCTTGTTTCCATTGGCAGATGGTTCCTAAAGAATTATCCAGGAAGCTGTGGCCTTTCCAGGAAGAGGGATTGGACAGGTTCCTATCAGATCGGTATGGCTGAGGGAGATATTGTCCTGCCTCCCAATTTTATCTGCAGGTTTGAAGCTGGCTGATGGGAATTTCTGTCTTGCCTCTGCTGTTGATAATTTAGGGAAGCCAGTCCCTGTCTATACACATGTGTTTCCTTGCCTGGGAACTGAGAGGCATTAATCCAGGGCTGCAGATACTGATCCCTGCAGGGGCAGGCAGGCACACAGATGTGTGTAGGGCTGGGCAGGTGGGCCTTACGCCATGGTAGGGATGACAGGGATTTGAAGATAGACAGGTGAAAAAAAGCCTGGTGTGGGCCAAATGAAACATTTGTGAGGCAGATGTGGCCTACAGGCTGCCTGTTTTCAATTTCTGGTTAAAATATTTTCTGATTTCCCTTAAAACACTGTGGAATTAACCAGTTTAGGAAGAATATGAATACCTGGCACAAGAGCGAAGTCAGTAAACATTTCTTGACCAAATGAGTGAAATTTATACACACCCACATATTAGGTATTTTCCATCTAAATCTATCTATCTATCTATCTATCTATCTATCTATCTATCTATCTATCTATCTATGTATCTATCTACCTGCACACACATACATCTGTAAGTACTATGTATCCACTGGATAATGATGTATCTAGAATATGCCTTCTTTTATCTTCATCTTTAGTACTCCCCTATATCCTGACACATATCCTTTAAAAAAGTGCAATTTTGCCAGTTCTAAGTTCAAATGACACTTAAAAAAAAAGAACTAGAAGGAATTATGGGACCCAGACACTAGAACTAATCAATAATTAACCATTAACAAGATATTTAGCTTTCTGAGGTTATAGTCTGATAGTTAGGAATGGGGACTTTGAAGTCCATTCTTGGTTCAAATGTTGGCTCCACAAGTTAAAACCTGTGTGACCTTGGCCATTCACTTGCCCGCACTATGCCACTGCTCTCTCATTAGTAAAATGATGTAATAAAACCAACTTTAGATCTTGTCAAGAGAACTAAACAAAATGACATCTGTAGGTCTCTCAATACTATTCCTCTCACTGTAGATTTCTAACACCTGGTGAATCCCATAAACCCACAAAACAGTAGGAATTTCTGATCATGAAGACAGAATCAATAGGAATGTGGCAAAAATGTTTGGAAAAAATTGAACCAGTAGTATGAGCAGAGGAGGAAAAGTAAGGAAAACTGAGGCACATAAAAGGCATGATTGCCACCAGCACAGAATTGGTTGGAAGAGGGGTAACTAATAGTCAGAAGACCTAAGTTCAGGATTCAGTTTTGCTGCCCCCAAGCTCCTTGGGCAAACTCTTAGTGGTTCTTCCACTTCCTAATCTATACAAAGAGGATTCTGATGGCTGCCTTTGGGGAGATCTGAGAAAAAGGATATATATCCTTTGTAGACAGTACAACGTTAAAAATGTCATTATTAGATCCTAGTTAGGCAACCTATCAAATTGAATAATTACCACAGACAGAAGCAGAGTCTTTCAGAACCCTCTGGGGCACCACAGCTTCATTCCTCTAGTGGTAACCAGGCACTATCTATCGAGGGTTGACTAGGTTCCAGGCATTGTGCATTTTGTCTCTTTGACTCCTTTTGATATTCATTAGCATCAGGCATTCTCATTATTCGCATTTTACATTTGGACACACTGAAGGTAACAGTGGCCAAAACAGGTGGAAAGGTATGTAAGGATCTGCCGGTGGAACAATTCATTCTCACATGGTGGTCTGTGGACTTGTGCCTGGCAGGACCAAGTGTTTACATGACAGTGGCAAAATCAAACTGGGGCAATATTGAGCTTTCAGTTTCCACAAGCTTCATTTATTAAATTTTAAGACATATCCCTATTCTGAGAATACCTTTCTCAGGCCTTTAAAACATCTCTTCTCTTATAAAATGACAGTGAAAGTGGGTTGCAGTTCCTTTTTTCTTTTGAATGTCCTGGTTTGGCAAAATGAGAAGCCAGTTACTCTGTACCATTCCAGATGGTTTATTTCTTCAGGCCAGGAGGGAATTTTACTGGTCTTTAGTATTTAAAGTCTGGGATCCCCTCAGTTGGTATTACACTGGCAGGTAGGGGAAGGCTCAGCTGATGATGCTGTCTGCATTTGACCTGTGTGCTGTCTCCCACAGGCAGAGGAAGATGTAAGGCCTCCAAGGATTATGAGCAGGAAGAAAAGGATGAACTGAGTTTCTGCCAGGGAGAAAGCATCGAGATCATTGGCTTTGTCATCCCCGGACTCCAGTGGTTTATTGGGAAGTCAGTTTTCTCAGGAGCAGTGGGCTTTGTCCCCACCAGGAACATAGATCCTGATTCCTACTGTCCAATGTGAGTATGGCAGTGAGTCTGTCCTGGAGCTGGGCTGCCTTTGCCAGTGCTTCCTTTCTTTTGAGAGCTGTGCATGTGAGCTTCAGGAGTGCTTTGGAAATGCCAAGCCAAGGGAGCAAGTTGTGGCAGCCAAGGCACATAGAATGCTAGGGAGGAGGTGTGAGTGATCAGAGGAAGTCAGTTTGGTTCATTCAACAGAGGGTCATTGAAACTTTCCTCTGTGCAGGGAGAGAAGCAGAGCCCCAAGAAAAAGGGTCTATTGTTAGGTGTCAAGGGTATGTCTTTGGTACTTAGATTCTTCTATTCACCCTGTCTAACCAAGGCCCTCATCAAGAGATGGAAACACACAAGAAGCAACAGATCACCAGCTTGGTTCACAGGCAGCCCCCTCCCATGTTGTCAGGGAGATAGCTTCCATGTAGGTTACAGGTTTGCCATTCAAGCTAAGCACTGAATGTGGGAGGTCAATATTGTCTGGGAAAGCAGAGTGCATCTTTTACCCCTTTCTTCCCTAAATCCAGGAAGGGTGCTTGTGAGGAGCAGACACATGCTTCTGACCCAGTGGCAGATGGCTGGAAGGTGAATCACAGTATCGTACAGTCCCCCTGGGGTGGGCTTCCTACAGGTGATAGGAAACAGTAGAAAGCCTGGGTCTAGAAAGTATAAGAGGAAGCAGAGAGTTGGCTCCTCATGTCAAGATATATTGAGAAAATGTGGTCCAAGGAATAGCTAAGGCTCTCATCAATCAGAGTAGAATTCCTCTTCCTATGGGAGTCAATGAGGGGTGGACCAAGGGATAGAAGCTCCCTTTATGCCCCACTCTTCATGAGGAGAGGAGCTAAAGGCCATTTTCCCTGTGCAGAAATGTGTAACCCAAATCACACAAAACAGGAAGACCACTCACAGAGCTCCTGGAGAGGTATGGAGGGCTATGGGGACTTGTAAGGAAGACAAGTGTATTGAGAGAACTTTCAAGACAGGTGATATCTGAGTTAAGTTTTGCATGATGTCAGGTACTTTAACAGGTGTAAGAAGGACAGTGAGAGATGCTGGAGGAATGACTCAGGTCCCTGGGAGTTAGGTTCTTGGAGACCCTGGTGCAGCAGAGCCTGGGTAGGACCTTCCCTGTTGTGGAAGATGAGGATGGCTGTGTAGGGCCTGTCCTTTACCTTGCAGAGAATGGGAGCCATAGACTGTCTGAGCCAGGCGGACAGATTATAGAGTGGGACTTCTCTCTAGGAAGCTACATCTGGCTTGAGTGAGGCAGGCATCAGCAGGGGAAGGGTGGCTGCTGGAGACTGGAAATCAATGACAAGGTTAAGCCAGCTCCTAGGGGAGGAGCAAGAATGGAGATGGTAGGCTGCTGCTGGAAAATAAAGATTCTGGGAGCTTTGCAAATATGGAGAGCTGAGTTCTGCCCCAGGGGCTCTTATCTTACGTCTGGGTGGAGCCTGGGCTGTGCTGTTTATTAAAGCTCTCTAGGAAAGGCTGTGGCTAGCAAAGTGAGACCAGGATCCCTTATTTTATTGCAGTGGGAAGTGAGGACCCAAGAGTGAAGGAGCTAAACCAAACCTTTGGATCTGGAAGCCCAGAATCTTAATGTTAAATGCACAGGTCCTGCAATGGAGGTTCTGGTGAAAGGGAGAAAGTATGAAAGGAACAGAGACTTAGTGGGGAGAACCAGAGCAGAGGAAGAAGGAACAGCAAAGGAGACAGAGAAGTCCATTGAGGGAAGGAACAGCCTTAGGGGAGGAGGGACGTAGTTGCTGGCTTCAATAGGTAAAGCAGGGCCACCGAGGAAAGGCTTTTGGGCTTGGCCATTGCAAAGCCATGGGAGGCTGCATGGCTTAATGGTTTGCAGAGTTCTCGGGTTAGACTCTCCCAAAAGCATCTGTAACTGTGTGAGTGCATCTGTATCTCCATTAGCTTATCAGCCATATGACTTTGGACACATTGAGTTCCCTCTGTGCCTCAGTTTTCTCTTCTGTGAAATATGTATAATGTTATGCTTGCCCAATAGGATTGTCATGAGTGTGAATGAGCTAGTACATGTGAAGCACTTAGAATGGTGCTATGATCAATACAGCAGGCTCTGATTGCATTCTTGTCATTGCTGTGAGTGTTTTTGACAGCTGGTTTAATAGGATATAAGAGAAGGTGTTAGAGTTTATAAATTATATTTGGACTTTTGTACCTCACACGTTGTTCCAAACGATGACAACTTAGTACCACTAAATCAATTTAGCCATTGTGGTTTAATAGTTTGATTGCATGCTCTTCTTTCTTACACTGAAGAACAACATCCCCTGTATCACGTGAGGTGGTGATACTACTTTCTCCTTATCCACAGTGGCATACATTTGCCTTCACCTGAGGGACCCCATGCACTAGAGACTGTAGAGTTGGTAAGGAAGGGGAAAGAGAGCTAGGAAACAGGGCGGGGTGGAGGCAGAAGGGAGGGGAACTGGGTCCTTGTCCATACTCCATAGCACTCTCTGGACTGCAGTTGTCCTCAGACTATGGCAACTTAGGAGTGGACTGGGCTCAGAGGACTCAAGCAGGAGGCAGGTGCTGAGGTCTCTGGGTTCCGTTCCTGTGTGCTGTGCCCATGACCAGTCACTGGGTGTCGCTCTGTGTCTGTGTTCCTTTGCTGTGGGGTTTCTGAGGAAGGCCTCAGCATTTGCTGAAGACTCTATCCTCTTCCTCTGAGTTCCCTCCCTGTGCCTGTAAATCCTTCCAAAAAGTGTGCGAGTGTGAACGTGTGTATGTGCATGTGCAGTGTGTGTGTGCTTTCAAAATCGCACTCACAGTAGCAAATGGAATTTCTCCAGAGGCTGAGTTCTGCAGCCCATTTAGTCTGTGCTTACAGCACAGGGGAAGGTCTTACTTGTCCAAGGAGCAAATTCATGTTTCCTTTTCTTGGCACAGATTTTAACACCAGCTACCTAGTTTAATTAACATCAACTTCCTAGCAATAGCAGCTGGAAAAAGTAGTTCTCAAAACTTGAAGAAAGCATTTTGAGCAAATAGATAGTACTGTATTGGTTTAGCCTGAATGACTTTGGGGATCTTGGAGGTTTTGAGGGTGATAGAACAACACGTCCTTCCTTTTTTTAATCTTTAAAAATGTGTGTGTGTGTGTGTGCACTTTAAAGGAAAGCAGATTTTGGATATAATTGAAATGTATATAATTGAAGATGCCTTTTTTACCCCATCTTGCTTTTTACCTGATCTTGATTCCCACCCCAGAGACAAATGCTATGAGAAGTTGGTATGTATATTTCTAATCCTTATTCTGATACATTTCAAAGGCATTTTTGTTTATTAAAAAAATTATGATTTAAATATTTAAAATTTTATATATTTCTTTCATAATTGGCTTTTTAGGTAACATTGTAAATTTGGATTTATTCATATTATCACAGATATAGTAAATTTTAATAAAATATTACTTAAAAGAAATTTGTACACTTAAATTCCTAAATTAAAAATAAACAAGATTGATTAGTATACTCAAAAGCAGAAATAAAAGAATATAGGAGAAAACTCAATATTTAATAGTGTTAAAAGTTTTAAAATTCTTTTGTTGTATCCCTTCTTTTATTCTTCATATTGTTATGTGTCTTTTTTATAATTTTATTTCTCATGACATCTGTTTGTGCTGATGAGAATTTCACAGTTAGTTTCACGGCTATTTCTTTGCAGGTTTGCAGTTTCTTCTTACCTTTTAATCTTTTCCCCCTTTTCATTGATGTTTTAAAATTGTACCATCTAGATGTGATATTGTATCATGTATTCATAGCAAATTATCCACTTCTTCAAAAAGTATATTGTACAGTAGTTACATATTTCAGTGAAGAATTGTGAGTTGTAAATACTCACAGTATTTAGAGCTTGTTTGTTTTAAGGAATTTTATTTAAAATATACCCTTAAATGATAATTTAGCTAGGCATGTAGTTGTAGTATCTTCAAACTGTGGGGAAAAGTATCTATCAATATAAAATTGCAAGCCTGTTTTGCTAGGATTTTACATTTGTCTATAATATTGATTTTTCCAAAGAAGTAATTCATTTTTTGTAGACCATCTTTGTTTTCTATTACATTAATGAAAACATTTCCTTGGATTATTTTCTAATTCTTTCTTTGTTTTTATTTCATTAGTTTATGTTTTTATCATTATATTTAATTCTTTCACACCATGAATTTGAACAGTCAAGTAATCTGAACCCAGAAGTAGAAATAGGAGAAACAGACAAGTTGCAAAGACAATGATACTATTTTTATTTATTTTGCTCAGGACTTGATCTACTTCCTCAATCTGAAGACTTCTGTCTTTCTTCAAGTCTGGAAAATTCTCACTCTCCTCTGAATGCTACCTTTCTCTTTTCCTTTTAGTCTCTCTTCTGGAATTCCTGTCAGAGGTATGTTGGATGTATTCTATCTTTAACTGTGCTTCATAAATTCTTCCTATTCACATTTTTGTCACTCTGTATCACGTTCTAGGGGATTTCCTTAGAATGATCTTCATTTCACGAATCCTCTCATCTTCTATGACTGAGCTTGTGGCTCAACTCATTCACATCATCCTTAATTTCTATACCTTTATTTTCCATTTCTTGAATTTGTATTATCTTATTTTTTTATGTGTGGTTATTTCATTTCACATCTTTTCATTGTATGCTCCATTTATTCTTTTTATTTCATTGTTTTAATCATGCTTATTTTTCAGATTATTATATCTAGTTTTGTATTAATTTACTGGTGTTTGCATCTGCTGAATTTCTTTGTGGGTGGTTCTTTTTCTTAATTTTATTTTGGGTTTGTTTTTTTTGTTATGTGAATTAAGTTTCAACAGTTTTAAAGACAGAGGTTGCACGAATACTGGACTGAAGGAAATCTTTCTGCAGAGCAGGTTTTGGATTTGCCTCTCCCAGAATTTTAGAAACTCAGGATTGGGAACTAACATATATTTTTTTTGTACTGGGGATTGAACCCAGGGCCTTTGCACTGAAGTATATCCTAGAATCCCTTTAAAATTTTGATACAGGGTCACCCAGGCTGGGCTTCAACTTACAGTCCTCCTGCTTCAGCTCTTAGAATTCTGGGATTACAGGTGTGCACCACCAGGCCTGGGTCTGGGACTGATTTATATGATTGAGTTCTCTGAATTTGGTACCTATATTGTGCTTGTAAATTCAGATCCCCACCTTCTGATGGTGTAGGCACGTTTGATTTTTTTTTTTTCCTAGCTACTCAGATTAAAAGTGACTTCTTGGCAAGTATAAAAAGTTTTGCAACCAGCCTTTTAAGGAGTTGCTGCCTTTCTAGCCTCCAGGCTTTTTGAAGGGAGCTTAATCCAGCTCCCTGCTTCACATAGGTCCACAGTCATATATGCTCTTGCAGGTCATTACAAGGTGAACCCCAGTTCCGAGAGCCAGTTTCTCAGCTAAAGCTTCCAGGTCTCTGGGCCATCTGCTCTCACACACCAGTCTGGGTTTGGTCTCTGCTTTTGTTTCTGGATCTCATGTATTTCCCTTTCTTTAAAGTTTAAGTGTGTGTTAAAATATTTATCTTGCTACATGTAATCCAGGTTTTGTGTGTGTGTGTGTGTGTGTATGTGTGCATGCATGCGTGCATGTACGTGTGTGTGTGTGTGTGTGTGTGTGTGTGTGTGTGTGTATGTGTTTGGGGAGAGTACTCTTTCAGAACTGTTCAGCCTTCCAGAGTGCCAGATGCTTTGTCATATTTTTCTAATTCAGTTTTCATGTTTGGAAACCCATAATGTAGTTTTCAAGCTTCTTGGACTCTCTAAATACCTGAAAGTCAAGATCTTAGCAAATTAGCTCTGTGGCATTGGTTATAGAGGTACAAGACCTCGGTTTCAGCCAGAGTTTCACTATTTTCTAGCTGTGAAATTCTGAACATGTCACTGAACGTCTCTGAACCATTTTCTTCATTTACAAACATGGACTTACAATCTGTATCATAGAATTGTAAGAGACAGTAAATGAAATAGTAGGTTTCAGAATACTTTGTGAAATTTAGGGGTTCCACAAAAATTTGGGAATATCCAAATTTGGGAATATGCAAATATCCAAGTGAGTATAGTTATAGATTCCAATTACATGCTTTTTTGAGGCTGGAGACTCGTGGTACTGGGAGAATGTAGAGATCAGGCCAGGGAGGAGGGGGGTCAGTCCATGTTGTGGGAAGAGCTCTGGGGCTGACGTGAGGACTTCCCTCTAGTGTTGGTTCTGCCACTAATTAGGGTGTGACTTTGATCAGCATCTATAGATGCCAGTTCCCCATCACTGGCTTTCACTTTGCTTGTACCTGAGCTATGGAGACAAATGGCCAGAGGCTGACCACAGCATCCCCATCCTACTCTTTTCCTGGGTTTTGTGATAACTAAGGAAGTGCTCTTATTTCTTGCTGTACCACTTCTTAAACACCCACTTCATTTTTCTGTGCCTCAATTTCTTCCTTTGTAAAAAGGGGATAAAAATAGTACCCGCCTCATGGGGCAGTTATGGGAATTAAATGAGAGAATAAAATGCATGACTCATCATACACCCTCCAAAAGTATTAGGTGTTATTAACTCTTGGATTTCCAAGGTAGTTTGCTTTTAAAAATAGGTTCTGAGGCTTAAAAAATTTCTGTTTAGAACTGAAAGTGATCTCAAAACATGTTCAGCTAGGTACTGGACTAAATACTTTCTAAGGCATTTCTAGATTTGAGAGTTTTAGTAAATTCCATACAAGTTCTTAACAATCCCATGAGAAATCTCTAGTAAGAAATTAATCTTAACATTTCGATTGTGCAGCAGGATAAATATAAGAATCTCTTTTGTTTATAATCATTTCTTCCAGCTCCCAGACCCTCCATTTCTTCTGGGATATGTAATCACGTCTCAGGAATTCTGGTCATTCTGAAACTTTCTTCACTGTTCCTCTAAATTGTACCGCTTGTCCCTACCTTTTTTTCTAAAATAACCTAAGGAAAAAGAAACCTATTTTAATAATTCCTTTCCCTTTATATTTAAGGGAACCAGTTCTTATTTCTACAGTTACAAATGGTTACCAGGTGGCCTCAAAGGATGGGCAGAGATGGAGAGAGGGGCTTTGTTTTTCCTGGGAAGTGGAGTTTTAGTGGGAGGGATATTTTTATCTGTATTCTGTTCTACTTGGAAACAAGACAGTTCAGTGTTCTGTGCATGAGTTAGGTGCTAATAGCCCTTCTTCTTTGGCAGTAAAAATACAGTTTGCAGCAGTGAGGTGAAGAGTCTGATTTCAGCAAGTGGGTTGATGGCTTTTCTAAGTTCTTCACCATCCTCTGCCGTGGAGCGAAGGGCTGGAGTGTGGAATCTCACGCTGAGCTGTCTTGTCTGTTGCCCCAATGCAGGAGCAGGAACTCTGCCTTTTACAGTGATGAGGAGAGATGCTCTCTGTGGGCCCTGGGGAGTGACAGAAAAGCAGACTGTGCCAGCTTCCTCCGCACCCTGGCTCACACGGACATTGCATCTGTCTACCGTCTGAGTGAGTGCTGGACCCTCTTCTCCAGTTAAAGCCCAGGCTCCTCAAGACTAGGAGAGCATTCCTAACCAAAAAGAAAAATATCTCTAAATTCTAATTTCATTCAGGAATTTGAGGCCATGACTACTATTCATTTTAATTACCTGGATCATATTTGATTAATAGCATTTCACTTTAGATTTCAGAGAATTCTGGAGCTGTGCAGAACATATCACCTAGAAATTGAAAGGGTAGGATGAAACCAAATTGCCTGTACCACAAGTGGCCAGTTGTACAGGCCTTTCCACCCTATCTTGGAAAAGAACTTCTGAGTTGTGGCTGAAGCGTGTTCTTTCAGGTTTAAACCAAGTACCTAATAGCAAAGGAGGGGCCATAGAATGTTACAGTTGAAAGGGCCCTGAGAGTTGATTTCTCCCCTCATTTTATAGAGGTCCAAGTAAATGAATGCCTGAGCCAGCATGAGACAGCTGTCTCCTAACTGCTAGTCAGAACAATCTATTTCATCACACTGCCCCAGATGCAAAATGACACTGAGAAGTTGGGTGCATTAATCTTGGGGGACTAGTGGTCCCAGTGCCTAGCACAGTTTTTGGCAATGCCTGAATGAATGAATGAATGAATGATACTCATTTCCTTTATGGAAAGGCCTACTGCTGTGGGTCGGTAAGTACACCTACTCTCTGATGGTGGCTTGAGGAAGGATTCTTTGTCCTCTTTCTCTTCAGTAATGGTGGTTCCACTCTTGTGTGACCAGATTAGATGGGCCACATTTCATTGTACAGTCAGGGGTTGTGCACAGCAGATCTCCAGGCTAGCTCTCAGGAGCACAGGAGTTTCCTTCATGCCTTTGTGAGGAGCCCGTACCTGAGAGAGTAACTCAGCCCAGCAGAGCTTTTTTTTTTTTTTTAAATTATGATCAGATCAGACCTCTCTGTGAGGCTGAGCCAGGAAGCTGAAGCTATAGACAGTGCCTAGAAGGTAGGAGCAGAGATCTTAGGCAGGAATAGAGATTTGAGAATCAAGGAATACTTGGGATGTACATTGGCAGGAGCCAGAAGTGGATGGCTGACTGGCCTACTGGTCCATTGGTTGGGAGATTTAAGAACAGGTCCCAGGCAGCATGTTGTTTAAAGAGTGATTCTGCTGGGTAAAGGCTGAGTTTTATGGTTGTGCAGTCTGTCCCAGCACCAGGGCAACCCAGAGAGGGGCTATCTTCTTGGTAAATTCTAGCTCTCTCAAGGCCTAAGCCCTGGAAAGGAGTGCCTCCAATTCTTCCTCTCATTTTGTAACTCATGCACTATTTATGCTCTCAGTTACCTGGCCCTGAGAGAGAAAGCTGCAGTAAGACTGGCAGGTACCCCTCAATATCGGACAGCCCAGGGTGCATGGATGACTCTCCTAGCTGAGACCCATTCTTTAGCTGTCCATCACTGGCTGTGGAGACTCCTACACTGTGCATATGATTGCCATGGCAATCACAGAAGAAGCCTTCTGCAGAGAACAGGAAGAGGCTGGATTTGATGAGGGGCCTGCTAGTCCACCAAGTTCACCGGAGACCTAGTAGGGGTGCTTTTCCATCCGGAAGAGCTGGAGTCTTCTCTCTAGTATCCTTTGTCCTGTAGGAGCCAGGCCTTTACTTACCAAGCTCTGTTGTGGCTGTTTAGCTAAGAGCATTCATTTCTTCACTGGCAAACTCAAGGTATCTTCTTTGTTATTATCTAGTATTGTCTTACATTTTTTTGTGGCATTGGGGATTAAACCCAGAGGCTTTTCACTGAGCTGGACCCCTAACTCTTTTTATTTTGAGGCAGAGTCTTGCTAAATTGCCCAGGCTGACCTTGAACCTGTAATCTTCCTGGCTCAGCTTCCCAAGTAGCTGGAATTACAGATGTGTGTCAGCATGGCCAGCTCCTTTTACTTTCGTGACATTAGGAGGCTGCATCATAAGTCTCATTGGTTTCTGTGACTTTCCTTTTCTCTCTGCCATTCTGGTTTTCTTTTCACTAGCTGCTCTCCTCCAGGAAATGCGGATGTTCAATAGGCTCATTAACCAATTTCCCCTCTCCCTCCCTCCCTTTCTCCTTTACTTTCCTTCAAATGCTATGCCTGTGCAGTCAAATTCAGTTCTCGCATTTTGGCCGGCTCCTGGTAACCTTCTGTGAATGATAAATCTGTATTTGCATGCTCCATTTTTCTCTTTGGCTCCAGATTGTTCTCTGACGAGAGCTCTTAACTCAAACTCAATATCTAAATTCTACTCAAGACTCTCCTGTCCTCCACATATCCCACTTCAGGGAACAAAACTGGGAACCTCAGGGGCATTCTTGCTCTTTTTCTTCACCATTCATTTCGGCCCCCTCAGTCTTGCCACCTTCAGAAAGCAAGTGTCCAGCACATTGTATGTGTTAAACTAATGTCTGTCGAGTGGATGGATGAGAAGTGGATGGAGGAAGAAAGCATGAAGGATGCGATACATGTGGAAAGGGAGGCAGTGCCACATGCCACCAAGCTCCCTGTCCTAGGAAGTCTATCCCAGCTCTGTTGTAAACTTGCTGAGACATTTAGGCACAATATCTTTCTGGTCCTCAGATTTTATCAACCCTTAGGTACACCCCTATTGATAGATCGTTTCAGATTTTCTTTTCTGACTCTGAATCTCAGTCTACCTCGGCTCCCAACTGTAAAGTGTGTGGGTTAAACAGGATAATTAGGTCCATGCAGCTCTCAAGCCAATCTCGAAATGGCAAATTCTGCCCATTCCTTAATGATAACCAATGGTTTGAAACTGTACACAAAGCCTTCTAGGGTTACTGGCCTGGGCCCCTAGCGACGTTGGCACAGTGGCCCATTCCAGCCTAACACCAGATCTGTCCTTCATCTCTACCTAGGTGGCTTTGAATCCATCCAGAATCTTCCAAATGACCTGAGCGGTGAGTAGAAAACATGCTGAACCTGACCTCTCATCTTTCCAGTCAGCACCCTTGTCCTCTGGCCAGGAGCTGGCACCTTAGCTGCAGGTGGTCAGGATTGCCCAACTCTGCCTGTCCTTACAGCAACCCAGCCCGAAGGCTTCAAGGAGGCCAGGCCTGGCACAGCCAGGAAGGAGCATCAGGCTGTGGGCTCCAGATGGTCCAGCAGCTCTGAGAACTCCAGCCTGGAGGAGGAGCTCCTTTCAGCTGCCTCAGACAGCTATCACCTGCCGGATCCCGATGACCTTGATGACCCAGAACTGTTCATGGACCTAAACACTGGTCAGGATGAGGAGGAAGCAGAGAATTTCGCCCCCCTATTGGGTTTTCTGGATCATGAGGGTTACACTGACCATTTCAAGAGCCTCTATGATTTCTCCTTCTCTTTCCTCACCACTTCTCCCTTTTACTGCTTCTCTGAGGAGGATGAACTTATGGCCTACCTGGAAGCCTCAAGGAAGTGGGCCAAGAGGAGCCACATGACCTGGGCCCATGCACGGCTCTGCTTTCTCCTAGGGCGGCTGAGTGTCAGAAAAGTCAAGCTCTCCCAGGCCAGGGTGTATTTTGAGGAAGCCATCCACATTCTTCAGGGGGCATTTGAGGACCTATCCCTGGTTTCTGCTTTGTATATCAATTTGGCTGCCATCTACCTGAGGCAGAGGTTGAGGCATAAAGGTCCAGCCCTGCTGGAAAAGGCTGGTGCCCTGCTGGCCTGCTTGCCTGACCGAGAATTCAGTGCCAAGAATGAACTTGACGTAGTGGCTTATGTGCTGCGCCAGGGGATTGTGGTGGGCAGCAGCCCCCTGGAGGCCAGGGCCTGCTTTCTGGCTGTCAGATTGCTCCTAAGCCTAGGCCGGCATGAGGAGGTCCTGCCCTTTGCTGAGCGCTTGCAACTCCTCTCTAGACACCCTCCTGCCTCCGATGCTACAGCAACCATCCTGAGTTTTCTGTATGACAAGAAATATCTTCCATGTCTTGCAGTGGCCTCGGTCCAGCAATGTGGTACTCACAGTGCCCATGGGATGTCTCTTCTGATTTGGCAGGTCTGCTTGGTCCTCCAGAACACCACCAAGCTCCTTGGCATGTCCTCCCCAAGCTGGGGTGAAGTCTCTGCACTGGCTTGCCCGACTCTCAGGCAGGCGTTGGCTGCCTGTGAGGAGCAGATTGACTGGAGCACTCAGAGGGCCCTGTGCCTCATCCTGTCCAAAATGTACCTCCAGTACAGGTCTCCTGATGGTGCCATCTACTACCTGAGCCAGGCCCTGGTGCTAGGGCAGCTACTGGGTGAACAGGAAGCCTTTGAGTCTTCCCTCTGTCTGGCATGGGGCTATCTCTTAGCAAGCCAGGCAAAGAAAGCTTTGGAGATCCTAGAGCCACTGTTATGCTCCCTGAAGGAGACAGAGAGTGTCACCCAGAGGGGAGTGGTCCATAACCTCCTGGGACTTGCACTTCAAGATCAAGGCCGGGTGAGCGGGGCAGCCAGGAGCTATCTCCGGGCCTTGAACAGAGCTCAGGAGACAGGAGATGTGCATAACCAGGCTGTGACTATGGCCAATCTGGGCCACCTGACCCTTAAGGCTCAGCAGCCAGCCAAGGACTATCTCCTGCAAGCAGTTCGGCTCTATTCTGAACTCCAGGCCAGCAAGGACACAGATATGGAATTGGTACAGGTGCTCCTCTGGCTGGCCCAAGTTCTGGTGTCTGGACGCCAGCTGACCCAGGGCCAGCTTTGTTATGAAATGGCACTGCTGTTTGGCTTAAGGCATCGACACCTAAAGAGTGAGTATGTCCTGTGCTGCTGGGAGCATTAGAGAGAAGTGTTGGGGCATGATTTGCCTGTGTTCTATCTCAAGACATCTTATTCGTGTCCCCACTTTATGTTCAGGTCAGCTTCAGGTCACCAAATTCCTCTGCCATTTCTATAGCTCTGTGTCCCCAAATCCTGAGGCCTGCATCACCTACCATGAGCACTGGCTGGCCCTGGCCCAGCAACTCAGGGACCGGGAGATGGAGGGGAGCTTGCTGGAGTCCCTTGGGCAGCTCTATCGGAACCTCAATACGGCCAGGTGAGCTGGGTCTGGAGATAGTCCTGGAAGCACTGTTTCTTATTTAAGGGGAGATAGTGTTCATTTCCTTAGGACGTCAAGTCCAAATTCACATAGTACATACATAGCATTGTGGAAAATAGCATGGACCCCACAGCCTGCCCATTATTTGTTAGCTGTGTGGCTGAGGACAAGTTATTTAATTTCTCCAGGCCTCAGTTTCCTTATCAGTCAAAGCAGATAATAACATCATCTATCTTGGAGTGTTACTGTGAGGAATGAATGTATTAAAGCTCGTGGAACACTTGGAAAAGTACTTGAAATACAGCAAGGCTTAATAACATTAACCATATCACCATTACTGTGTGTTTCCATAACAACCTACCCCCTGACCAGGGCTCAGAGAGGTGGCAGTTATACTTCGGTAGGTGTTCATTACCTGAAGACAACTGAGACTAGAGAAAGGACACACACACAAACACACACACACACACACACACACACACACACACACACAAAATCACTGAAAGCAGGGGTGTCAAATTTCATGGTAAAAAATATTTGATTCAGCTTAATTGTGTTGACATATTTACATAATAGCACAATAAGACATCTTTTTGGTGCTATTTTTCAAAAGCTTCCTTTTTGCAAAATTACTCTAAAATTCAAGTGTAAAACCCCAAAGCAACTTTTAACCCTTTGATATTCAAATCATTCTCACTTGAAGTATCTTGTCATCTGCTTTTTTTTGATACCAGGGATCGAACTCAGGACCTTGCCAAAATGGTGGAACCACTGAGCTAAATCCCCGGCCCCTTGTCATCTGCTTTTAATGTTCTCTTCTTTGTTTCTTCACTGGTGTAAGGCTGTTTGTTCCCTGTTTGCCAATGAGTTTTGTTCTCTTACAAGGATTTAATGGATTCCAGGAAATTCTGCAGGGTTTGCAAGATTTTCAGTTTCACTTTACAACAGATTTTACGTTATAAATGGTATTCATAATTATGAATGACTTCTGAAATAGAGTAGAAATACTTGTTGGTGTTAAGCAGAGAAAGCATTTGAGAAGCAACTAATTAAATTAGACCTTTTAATTTTTAGAGAACGTTGTAAACTTGGGAGCCTGGAAAATCAGATAATGAATAATCGCACCATGAACTAACTAACTAACTAACTCTTTTTCTCCATATGTATATGTATATGTGTGTGTGTTTCATCCTTTGTCTTTCTCTCCCTTGCCCATTCTTTCTCTTACAAGAACCAGATGTCCTCCAAACCTCCCACTGTTTCTGCATTCAGTGCTGTACTGCAGCATTGAAGAGGACAGGAGGGAGGCCTGACCCAGCCGCCCTACTTCCAATCCCAAATGCCCTGAGTTTGGATGTGTCTGGTGCATATCCAAAAGTCAGGCTTCAGTGAACCTTTGAGATCAAACAGTCACATGCTTCTGGTGAGGGATCTTGGAACGAAGCTTTGGGAAAGTTGGATTTTAAGATGTGTCAGACTTATTGCCGCCTCTTGCTGCTGCACAAGCTTAGTCTTTGGTTAATCCTGTCCCCAGCTGTCATCTACCATCCTTCACTCACAGGACCCCCTCCAACCCTATTTGTCAGATACCTTTGAAATCCTAAAGGGGAAGCTAGAGAGAAAGCCTTGGATGCTGCTGATGTGACTGTGAGGCCTGACTGAAGACATGTGCAGAAGTTCTTGCAGGCAGACATTGTGTCTAGCACAGGGCTAGACATCCATTTGTGTCTGTGTGGGCAGCCAGGTGTTCAATTAGTTCCTCAGTCCAATAGCTAATGGCCCCGGAGCTGCAGCTCTGTGCTCTCGTGGCTGCTGCTGATTAAGATGGAGAATGGGATGGAAACAACGTGTTTGTAAATAGAGAGGGATGGAGGGGTTGAAGGGAGGGCAGGGGAAGGGGGAAAAAATAAGAACCAAGAGAGTATGTAAAGGTGCATATCTCTAATGATGAATGTCATTATATTGTACACCTAAAATGTACCAATAAGAGGATATACAGAAAAAAAAAAAGATGGAGAATGGGGAAGGTTTGCCCGAGGGGGTTCCTGGTTCTTTTGCCCAGGACTCAGGTAAGGAAAGAAAGGTGTTTGCAGCTTGGAGGCAGGCTCTCTGGTCTCTAATGACAAGGACAGTGGTCAGAGTGCCATCAGTGGATGATCAGATGCCTTTTGAGAACACTGACCTAAATAATACTAGCCACAGAGTGTAGAGAGTCATAGCGAAGACTCACCCATAAGGAGCCAAATAATGGACAATGAGTTAGTATATAGGGGTTTGCAGTCAAATGAGGAATGGAGGATTGTCTTTTCTAAAATTAAATAGTAGCTTATGGTAAAACAAATGTGAAACCGACATTGATGATTGTAAGTTGAAAAATAAAGGCCTCTTTGGAGCTTCCTCTTTTCTCTAGAAATTTAAAAGTGTTACAATATTCTAGAGGAAATATTTCATTCACATGAAGATTTATAGTGGATGCACATTTCTATATTAAATGTTAGATATCTTAAACATAACATGCACATATCTATAAGTGGGATCATGATAAAAGTTCTATTATATACTGTTCTGCTGCTTGCTTTTTTAAAAGTATCAATATGAAATGATACCGAATTGATCCAGCATATTATCACACTTTGGGAGCCCTTCTGATGTGTTAGGTACTGTTGCAGCAGCTGAGGAATCCATTGGTTATGTTAAAAAAGATAAAAACCAATTATTTGAAAATAGAGCAACCTACCCTGTGCAAATGAGCACGTTGTTGTTATAAGTATTAAGCAGAGGCTGACTGCGTAGGAACTTATAGAAGAGTTTCATTAAGGAACCGAATTTAGATCTTCTTAGTAACAGCTTTATTGAGGTATATTCATATGCCATGAACTTATAATTTACTTCACAATTCAGCACAATTTGGTTCTTAGCGTATTTACTTAGTTGTGTACCCATCACCACTATCTAACTGCAGAAAATCTTTTTGGGCCTTTCTTCAAAATACTGTACCTATCAGTATTTATTTCCTGTTATCCATCCTCACCATAGCCCTGGAAACCACTAATTTTCTGGATGTTTTATGGATTTTCTTACTCTGGGCATTTGATATAACTAGAATCATTCAGTATCATTCAATATGTGACTGGCTTCTTTCATTTTGTGTGGGGTTTTCAAGGTTTATTCATGTTGTCTATGTATTGGTATTTCATTATTTTTTCTTGCTGAACAGTATTCCAATATATGGGTAGACCAAATTCACTTATTGATTCCTTATTGATGGATATTTAGGTGACTTCCATTTTGTCTCTATGATGAAAAACACTGCTATGAACATTTGTGACTAAGTTTTTGTGTGAAGATGTGCTTTCTGTTCTCTCAGTGTGTGGGCTGATTGAGGTGTCAACTTGACTGGATGGAGAGATTTCTGGAGAGGTGTCAGTATCTGCCTTTGTATTGGAATGTTTGATCCATTTATATTTAATTAATTACTGGTAAGTTGGGATTTATATAACTATTTTGTACATCCCCCGCCCCCATGCTAGACAGTGAAGCCAGGCCTTGTGCTTGTTAGGCAGATACCACTGAGCTGCACCCCTCACCCTTGGACTTTGTTCTCTTTATGGGTCACATCCTTTTCATTATTCAACTTCATTACTGCCTTCTTTTGTGTGAAGTGGGTATTTTCTAGACTACTGTTTTAATTTCCTTGTCATTTCTCTTACTGTATTTCCTTCTGCTGTTTTCTTGGTGCATCCTCTGGGTTACCCCTTAACCTGTAGCAGTCTCAGGTATTACCTGGGCATCCACATCCTGCACAGGCATGTGGGCTTATCAATCGCCAGGGGTACTTGGGAGCATTTCAAGGATGTTTTTTTGAATCTCATCCTATTTTTCCTTTTATATTTTCTTCTGTCATCTTCTTGTTTACTTCAAATGTTTTCACTACCTTAGGGAAAGACAGTGATCAAAATTGCTGTTAATTTTTTAGACAAACACTCTAGGAAAAAAGGTGCTCTTCACTGAGTGAATTCTGAGTTAAGTCAAATAAAAACATATTTTTTGAGTGGAGACGTGCAGATAGGTCAAATAGTGACATCTAAGTTAGTCAAACAGGGACAATTCCCTTACAGGCAACTTTGAGGAATTCCAGACTCATGATGGCCTCTCTGGTGGCTGCTTTTCTCAGTTATTTTGATTGTGAGGCTTTGGTTTTTAAAGCTACTGGAGACCTGGGGCAAGCAGCATGGCTCCAGGGTAAGTTAGAAAGCAAAGTTAAATATATCATGGTTTCTCTTACATGAGAAGCCCAAAATATAAATAAATTAAGGAGTAAAATAAAGGAGAGATGATAGGAAACAGGGAGGCAGACTTTTTCGAGATGGGAAAGGGGATCAAAGACTCTAGGAAAAAGATAGAGAGGGGAGTTAAAAGGATAAAAAATGATCAAGAAATATGCATGTACCAATTCCCCAGAATGAATGTAACTATTACGTATTGCATGCATACACTAAAAAAAAGAAAACCCAAAACCAAAAAACCAAAAAACAGAAAAGCAATAAAGCTTACTATTCTAAACAATATTCAGCCATTTAAAAAAATAAACACTCCTTGCATTGTTTTGTATCTTTAGTTAATTTTTAAAGTTTGAAAAATTTTGTTTGATAATTTTTTGCTGATGTTTTAATTGCTTTTGTAGAGGAGTGATGTTTTGGAAGTCCTTACTCCATTTTCCGTAAGTTAACCCAGACTAGGTTCTTTTAATTTTAATATTCAATAATTCTAACTTCTATGATTCCTATTGGTGCCACTACCATGTGAGTGATGGTAACAGGAAGGTTGGAAAGTACTTCAGGTGTCAGAGCAAGCCCCTTCAGACAAAAGTTCATTGTCCCATTGCCAAATGGCCATTTCATCAAAGAGAACATGCTGTAATGTTATGCTTACTTAGCATGAATAAATCAACTACTCCTATAGACTTCTCAGAAAAAGCCCCATAAAACAAAACAAAA